AGCGCGTGTAGCTCGACTTTTCGTGCCTGCTTTCTGAGGATGAATAAGCCTTATAGTATCGGACTCCCGCGGTTTTGAATCTGATCTCACAAGTGCAATGTGAAATAGATAAACACCAAAGAGTCCAAATCCGACAAATCTTTTGGGAAATCAATTTTGAATCAAATTGCCAAAAATGAATTGCTTTAGCAGATACAGAATCGTCACCTAAATATTTTTGAAAAATTTAGGAAACCCATGACTCATGCCAAAGGCCACGTGTTCGTCATCACCAAGATTGTCTCGGCTCGGGAACTTAGGTAAGAGAGGGGAATGTCATGAATTGAGCACCCCCGCTCGCCCGATCAAAGATCGGCCTCTAGTAATCATGATGTGAATCGTGTCTACATTATGCTCTTCTTCTGATTATTAGGCTAACTTACTATGTGATGTGCACACAAGTATAGACTAAGTTGCAAGAATTAGAACACTTGATCTCATGTTTGTTTTGAAAATTGTTTCAAATATGTACCACTTAAAAAAAGTGATCGCATATGAACTTTACTCAAATTATTGCAATTCAAGCAATTAGCCTTCATCCATAGACATTCAAACAATTTATCAATTAACCATTTGGCCTCATGGAAAAAATTCTAGACATGGCAACAATCACATGCATGCGACATGCTAAAGCGAGTAAAGGCTCACATAGTACTCCAAGCCAAAAAGATAAAAGAGTTTGAAAAATGCATGATCCTAATTATGCAACATGACTAATGCAATACATGCAAGATGTAATTAATAAGCTCGGTTACTAATATAGCATATGGATCAATTTAATAGCATGCGGTCTAAGCACATATTTAAAGAAGTATTAAACTAACAATGCAAGTTTAGAATGATGTACCGAGCCTTGGTGCATGCAAGACAAGTAGATGCAAACATGGAGTATGCTAAACAAAACATGATGTCCTAAACAAACCATCATAAGCTAGTAAATAAAAGGGTGAAAGACGTGGGGTTAGAAGACACACACATTATTACAATATTACGCCCTCACGAAGGAGAATCCGAATGAACTAACTTACTACGCTAATTACTACGAATTAACTAACTATTACAAAGCGAAATGAATAAATTAACTAAGCTACTTAACTAATTATTACAACAAAATAACTAACGATTCTAACTAACTAATTATTACAACAAGTTAACTGACTAATTGAACTAAATATTTACATGAATACAACATGAAAAGAGTGCTAAGCTAGCTATTTTAATTACTCCACCTTGGGAAACGAGGAAGGCTTATCCATGCACGAACTTCCACCTGAAAAAGCCATTGTTTCTGCTGCCAAATGCCTCTTTTGCATAGTAGAACACTTGCACTGATTCCCACCTCAGACCCAACTTTGTTCTGCTTCAAAAGTACACTGTTAGATTTTGCACAGGTGGCCGGCAGATGGCTTGCCGTCCACTGATGGTGGCTTGCTAGCCATAGGAGGTAGCCTGTCGACCACTGATGACTGGATTGTCCTGCTGCAACAAAGGTCAAACAAAGCACGGACAGGGTATTCTCAAGGGTTTGTTTGCAATTTACCTCTCCACATCATTTGAACAACTCAAAGGAGTAGTAAAACTTGATTCACAAACCATCAATCTATGCAATTTCATTGCATGATGGCCTCTTGAAGAGGAGAACCAATTCTAGGCAACAAATCAAGACAAACACACCCTCAAGAGCTCAAACAAGGCTCAAAGGTACCTCAACTCAAAGATCGAGAGGTTTGATTAAGAGTGTATAGGCAAAAGCTTGCAAAAAGCTAAGAAATTTAAGAGAGAGAGAGAGAGAGAGAGATAGAGAGAGAGAATTTTTACTCTAAAAATTCCAACCTTAAAAATGGAAGGGGAGGCCTCCTATATATAGAAAACCAAGCAACTTTCTCAGAAATATCAAGATATACATGTGTAGGAAGGTGCATGCATCTGTGCCAACAGTAGACACAGCTGGCAGAAAAATATTTGCAAAACACATTGGTGGCCGGTAGGCCACATTAGTGGCTGGCAACCAGAAGCAATGGCCGGCAGCCAATAGCAGTGGCCAGCAGGCCTCAAAAGGTTACAAGCTTGAAAATCCAAGGTTTTGGTCCAAAAATAAGGTAACAGAGGTGCAAGGTCTAAAGGCTCAAAGCTGTGGCATTGCACTGAGAACTTCGAGCACTTATCAAGCATATACACTCATCATTGGGTGTGTAAGCTGTGACGTCCAAGTCGTAAGGGCGGCAAAAAATAGGGTGTCTATACTGTAATATCTTTAAAATTTTAGGTTTGAAATCTCCTAAGTGCAAACGACATTGGATTTGTTAAAGCTGAAAATTTAAGCTTCATAGGTAAAGTTGGCGTATTATGGGACTAAACTTCATGATTTGAGCGGTTTCATTTTATATAACAAATTGAGAAAAACATGCATGCAAAAAATTAAGTTGATCAAACATAAATAATAACATGATTAAATCACATATATATTACAACAAATGAATGCCCTATTCTTAACAATACATAGGCCGTATAAATAAAAATGATCTAATAGTTTGACAATTGATGTTGGCCAACTTAATTTTTTGCATGAATAATTTTCTTTATTAGTTGTATAAGATGAATGGTTTAGATTATCGATGTGAGTCCACATTAGGAAATCGGACGTAGTGCAAACAATTTCATAGGGTCAGTCCATACGGGACTTTGTTCTAACTTTAATAGGGTCTCCACTAACAAACGGTGAGATTGATCCTTCAGATTAGTCTGGCTAGCAGGCTAAATATTGAGTTATAAAAAAAAAGGGAAAAAAAAAGAAAAAAAAAAAGAAAGAAAGAGAGGAGGTCTATCAAATAGATGGACCAAGAGAAAAAAAAAATGAAACAAAAAAAAAAGTCTATTTTTGGGACCACGTCAATTAGTTTGTTATATCGCTTGAATTTAAAACTTTTTTTTTTTTTCCGTTTGAAAAAGTAGAAAAATATATGATCAATTAGTTGACATCAATCAATAATTTTTTATTTTAGCAATCAATCAATAAGTTCAGAGTCTTTAAATATGGTTAAAAAAATGTAGAGATAGGGAAAGGCACATCAGTTACATGGTAATGTTATTGACTTGAAAAAAATAAACTTTTAAAACGCATAATGAGAGAAGCAAATATGACCGAAATCAAGTAATCATTTAAAATGGACCATTCTTACCTATTATTATTTAACTGAAGTTGCTAACATACAGTCAACAAATTAAAAATAAATTACATTTTTACAATTTAAATTTAAAGGTTAAAGTTCAATTGTGTTGCATGTGCACCTATTGCTATCGTTACCTTTATATTGGTATTTTAAGATATGTCAATTGATTTTAAATATGGTTAAAAAAATTGTAGAGATAGGGAAAGGCACATCAGTCACACGGTAATTTTATTGGCTTGAAAAAAAATAAAGTTTTAAAACACATAACGAGAGAAGCAAATATGGCCGAAATCAAGCAATCATTCAAAATGGACCATTCATACCTACTATTATTTAACTGAAGTTGCTAGCATATGTCTTGACCACTCAACAAACTAAAAATAAATTACATTTTTACAAATTAAATTTAAAGGTTAAAGTTCAATTGTGTTGCATGTGCACCTATTGCTATAGTTACCTTTATATTGGTATTTTAAGATATGTCAATTGATGAATATTTTGAAGTACTATTTTAAAAGCACCTAATAACTTTTCTTTAAATTTAAGAGATATCAATTGATGAATGTTGTGAAGTGCTATTTTAAAATCACCTAAATCAGTTTGTGAAGTATTATAAATGATGTTAAATGAAGTAAAATGACCTTGTCTCACCTAATGTTGCAAATGAGTCAAACTGTTTATAAACAGTTCAAAACTCGACTTATTTGCAGCTCGTTCAATTACCAAATGAGTCGAGCTCGAGCCTTATTACCAAACTCGATTATTAAACGAGCTGAGTTCAATTTAATGTAAACTTGACTCAATCTAATGTGAACCAAGCTCAATTATTAAACAAGCTAAGTTCAATCTGATGTAAACTTGACTCGATCTGATGTAAACTCGACCCAAGTTCAATCGTCCCAAAACAGTCGCAAAAAACTTTTTGGGACGGCCTATGTGACGGCAAAGAAGGGTCGCGAATATGGGGGTGGCAAATACTTTTTGCGACAGCAAAACAGCAGTCGCAAACTATTTGCGACTGCCTAACCTACTTATAGCGACTGATATTTTGCCGTCGCAAAAAAGTTTAAAAAATGCCTACAATGTATTAGCAACCATCTTCTTACTGTCGCAAAAAAATAAATAAATAAATAAATAAACCTACAATCGTATATATATATATAATAGATATACATGTATATATATTCAAATATTATATACCATAAATGTAAAGACATATTTGCAAAAATCTCAACATTCATGCATTATTTTCCATTTCTTCTCTTAATAAAATTCTCTTTCTTCAAAAAAAAAAAGAAGAAAGTGTGCAACAATAACAAAAAGTTCCTAAAAGAATCCTACAAAGGTTTTTCATCTCTTGCAATTACAAAGAACATTTGACGTTACAATTGTTCTGATTCTAAGAATCCTTCATAGTCTTGTTACAGAGTCGGAAGAAGAGCAGCAACTCTTGAGATTACAGATATCTTCTAATTTTTTCATCTGCTTTAAGAGAGAGAGAGAGAAAGAAAGAAAGAAAGAAAGCAAAGCAGCTCAAGTATTAGCGTGCAATCTACATATAATGGATGGCAGACAGAGACCGTGCATGAGGTATACAAAACATAGTTACATAGTAATAGCAATAGAGAAGGGCCTAAATCGATTGTCTTGAAAGTTGAAAATTACCAAAGCACATCAAGTACGAAGTCAAAATTTGTACCTCTTTCTCTACACTAGGGAACCTAGAGTAAAAAATTAGATACTTAGATCACTAAATATTTATAACAGAATCAAGCCATACCTTGCCAAACTGAAGGTGTAGGACAGCAAACTTCCTTGGTCCTTGACAATTGCAGCTATCCCATAACTGGATCATTGACAATGTATGAAGATCACCTTTGAAGTATAGAAATGAAGTAAAAAGTTCAAATAACTTTAAAACATCAACTAATACACTCAATACTGAAATTTTATCAAGGAACAAACTGAACATAAGCAGTAAAGAGTACAATAATTTCAAAGATATTGTGTAACCCATTAGAAGTTCACAGACAAACTTCTCTGCTGAAAAAGAATAGAGGAATCACTATTATGCGTTTTTATGCCTTTATTTTGAAGCACCTTCATCTTGGGTACTACAGGTTCTTCTAGAACAACAACATAACCCAACAAGTTAAGCCTTAACCCTATGCGTCTGCATCTCTTTTTAATCTTTTTAATCTTTGTCATTCCTTCTTTTTATGATTTACATATAGTCACAGACTCATAGTTATATTCATGATTCTGGAAAAATAAAATAGGCACAATGAATTGTCAATAGTTTTTCATTACAACACAAAACACTTGCAAACTAAACATGACAGAAAATAATAATAATTCAAAAACTATAGCATTTTTGAAGTGAAGATCATGGTGCTAAATACAAAACTATAGCATTTTTTTCTTTTCTTTTCAAAAAGTCATGGCGTTGTATACCTTCTGAGGCTCCAGCATCAACCAATGATAAGTTGTACTTAGGCTCGATAAAAATGTGCGCTAGTAAGATGAAATAATGGCTCTGTTCCTCCCTTGTTCTTTGGATGACTTGTACCTATTTGAGAACCGGGCAAGCAATTTTCACCTTCAAATAAATAATTCAATGATTATAAGCTATCAGGTGCACTATGATTATTTGGAGAGCTGTGTAGTGTTGATATCTAAATAAGAACCCATGGTTTAAATATGTATAATTTATTCTCATATAACTATCAGTTGAGATATAGCATTTCTCAATATAGAACCATGCTAACATCCAAATCTCTATTTCTTGAAAAATAGAGGTTCATCTGCACTAGTTCTTCTGCTCACTCTGACTTCTAGTTTCGGTATTACAAATGGTTTTAGGTAGTGATCCCCTGCATTAGTGCATATTTCAGAAATATTGTGAGGAAAACAGAATCATAAAAATCAGTTTTTACATTTCTGTAGAACACTAAAAAGTATTTAGAAACATTAGTGAAATATATATTGGTGATCTGTTATGGTGTATGGAAACAATGTGTTCCCTTATAGATATTGTAACAAGGACGCATATGGCAGTGGCCAGCATCAATATTTAACAAATTAACAGAATCAATTAATTGCACACAAAGATTTCACAAAATGAAAAACAGATGAGAGATAAAATGTAATGCCCAACCTAATGTTTAACATGAATATTTTTCTAGAAATGCAGATCACTGCTTATAGTTGTTAGATCAATAATGTTAACAGCTGAACAGTACAGATGATCAATAATTTTAGATCAATAATAATTACAAAGGCTTTTTTACTATGGTCTGACAGACAACATAGAGTGAGAAAGGGAGGGATGGTTTAGTAATAGAAAGTAATAATATCAAGACAAACTAAAAAAATCCAAGGCAGCATTTAGGCAAACACATAAAAATAGACTTACAGGTACTGTAAATTCTTGAGCTGGCCAAGCTAAGGGACCAAAAATTGGCCAGATAATGCTGCATTTCCAAGATCACTGAAGAAGAGACAAACAACCATCATAGAAGACCTCAAAAATTGGGAGAAAGTTATGTACTTCATGGAAGTTCAAAATGTTTTCATGTGCATTGATATCATCAAAGAAGATAGCTTACACTCTTATCACACTATTTTCATTTTTTATTTGGATCAAACCTATGGCATAGATCAATCATCAACCCCATGTATATATCCTATATTTTAATTTTGATTTAAAACCAATTAGTCACATATAGAGTACACCATCACTGTTAATTTAATTGTCCTTTATTTTATCTCTGTGTACTAAGGTCTAGCCTACACACACAAACTTCCAGGCACACTGTATATAGAGAACGTAGGATTATGACTGAATATTAGGTTTGTTATAGAACCTGACATGGCCTGAGATGCTGAATTAGAGATTTGAAAATAAGTTACTACAAGCACTTCTTGAAGTTAAAAGTTTGTTCAACATAGGATTATGAACTTGATCCATGCTTATATTAGTTAGTGTTGTTAGTCTATATAAGCTTACAGTTTTGACTAATCATGTATGCTTTGGTTTAGGGAAGAGTAAGAGAAGTATCCTGTCACAATATTATTAACCATTATTCAATGAAAGAACCTTTCCACAATTTTATATTTATACCAAATTGATATTAACATTGTCACTCACAATATAAAAAGATACTAGTCAGTAAAGTTTAAATTTTATATTTATACCAAATTGATATTAACATTGTCACTCACAATATAAAAAGATATTAGTCAGTAAAGTTTAGTGTTATAAAACTTACCTAATAGACTAAGCAAGAGATACTGGGTGCATGTCCAACTAGGCACATTGGACACAAATCCTGTACTCTTTTAAGTCTTACGCGTGTCAAGTGTTCAACACCATTACTTCTTGCATTTAGAAAAGTCGAAAGCAACATAAGAGATAATCAAGCATTATTAAAGGTCAAGCAGGGGACCTTAATTGTGTTCTTCCACACTCTTCCATTCCATAAAATTAAAACCACAATTTAGAATACTAAGAATAATTACATGTTGTGAAAGACATTACCATTGCTTCTTTGAATAGATACTCCTGTAAGTGAATGCAATATTTGAAATCATCGCACTAATGAAACCAGTCCAGTGGAAAGAAAGTTCCGTCAGTGATGCCATTGATACGCCTAATATAGAATTTGAGAGGATTATCATCAACAAAAGAATACGTTGCTCAATTTATTTGATCAAGCCCTTGGTTCTTGACGTAATCACATAACCATATGTAAACAAATTTTATTCAAATGCTTGATAAAAAATATAATTACATGTACAAATACGTGTGTAATTTATACTGTGATAGGTTACTTGATTAGTTTTATGACAGTATCACTTTTTATTAAAAATAATATACCCAGCAAATCAGGTTTAGAGAAGCGGTAATTTTGATTCAACATGAAGACAAATGAACTAATAGATAGGAACAAAGTCGAACAATTACCAAAAATAACAGGGGCTAAGTCGAACAATTACCAAAAAAGGGCTTAAACACCAGGGTTTACGGAGCTACAAAATACATTTAAACTGAAAATACAAATCGAAATAGCTAGATGCTATCATTCTTACTGCTATTATGTGAATTTTCAGAATGTAAATGTGGAGAAAATTATTATTGTGCTTCACATGTTAACTTTAATATGAAACTAATTTTTTTAAGCTGTAAAAAGTTCAAATAAATAAATAAATAAACAAAACACTAGCTATACTACAAAAAAATTCAATTAAAATTCCAATGCACCTTCATCAGACAAAATATTAAAATAAAACAAGTCTATACAAAATTTAGGCTATAGAAATTTTTTGTTTGAATAGCGTCATAAATTCTTTTTAAAAACTCTATGTAATTGTGAGTAACAAAGCCATAGAGAGAGAGAGAGAGGAGAATAAAAAGTAAATGAATCAAACCCTAACTTTTGCTCTCTCACAGTATCTCTCCTAAATTCTATGAAATTTGCGAAATTGGCTATGAATCGCAGAACAAAAAATAATCGAATTCAGATGTGTGTATATAAATATGCATGTATATGTGAGAAGAATTGAAAATAGATAGAAACATTTCAGATAAGAAAAGAAAGAATTGCAAATAATTAAAAACCTAGATTTCCTAAGTCAGATAGAGAGAGAAGCAGAGGTGATAGAGGAGGTTGAGGATTGAAAAATTACTTGTATTCTCACAAGACACCGATGAAATCACCTAATTTGCAATGAAATCACCTGAAAATTCAACAAATTGACAGGTACATTACAAGTTTCTGAATTCAGAAACAATTTAAGAGAGAGAGAGAGAGAGAGAGAGAAGAGAGAAGAGAGATTGAGAAATTGAAGGGGAGAGAGAGAGAGAGAGAGTGAGCCATACCTGTGACGACCATGGGTGAGTGCAAGAGAGAGCTAAGGCACATTGAGAGCTTCCATCATAGAGAGAGAGAAAGTTATGAAATTGAAATTGGGGAAAATTAATTAAAGAAAGCCGTGTTATTTGCATCCCTTATAAGTTATGGCTGTTGCTGATATTTTCTTTTTCTTTTTTTTCTTTTTTTGTGACCGCTTGTTTGACCGTCGCAAAAGAAGTGACGCAAAAAGTCATTTTTCTAGTAGTGTGGTAATCATTATATTTTATCTCTTGTATCATTTTAATTCTCACACTTTTAATTGACTCGATTTAATCCTTAATTTTGAATTTTGTACATCATCAACAATCCACCAAAGTCCTCAAGCACTTGGGCCCAACTCGCAGTGGAAAGGCTAGTCCAGCCGCGATACTGGATTGGGCCAAATTGCAGGACTTAATTCACGAACCGAACTGATGGGCCGAACCCATCATCATAAACCAAAGTGGGTCGAGCCCACACACAGATATCTAATTGGGCCAGCCCATCTCTGTAAAACAGCCTAGTGGAAGGCCGAGTCGAGGCACAACGGAACCGAGCTGAAGGAACCTCTCAATGAAACGTGGAAGCTATGAATACTTGCATGTACAGGCTGCCACCTCAGCTGGTACGCTCTCCCTAGAATCACTGAAGCAGTTGAGCAAAAGAATGTAATCTATTATAAGCAGCCAATTAAGCCCAATTACATCATCAACAATCCACCAAAGTCCTCAAGCACTTGGGCCCAACTCGCAGTGGAAAGGCTAGTCCAGCCGCGATACTGGATTGGGCCAGGCTGCAGAACTTAATCTATGGATTGAAACGATGGGCCGAACCTATCACCAAAGACCAAAGTGGACCGAGCTTATTCAAAGATATCCTACTGGGCCAGCCCATCTCTACAAATAATCTCGCTGAGGGACAAGTCGAGGCACAACGGTACCGAGCCAAAGGAACCTATCAAAGAAATGTGGAAGGTGTAAGTGCATGCATGTGTAAGCTGCCACCTTAGCTGGTCCTCTTCACCTAGAAATACGAAAATGGTTAACCAAGAGAATGTGGTTTGTTATCAGCATGACTACAATGAGTATATACACCCCTTGTCAACTACTAGATGGTCCCTTACCATGAGCAATGCTAAAGGAAACTTGGTAGCACCGAAGCTCCATGAAACCATTTTGGGCAACAAGCAAGGAGTTCTATATAAACTGCATTCACTTCACATTGAAGGTAACTGATCTAAGCTAACCATACTCACTTAAACATAACTCTCTACACTGAGAGAGCACCTTCCATCTTCTCCGATCACTTACTCCCACACTGGAGGGATTATTTGGCCAACTCCGGCTGGGCAGCTCTAACGGTGCTCATTGTTGTAGGGTCTCAATTCCTAGATAGTCCAATCAGGTGCAAAGCTCCGATCCACAATGATCTAGTGGGGTATTCGGTATGCACAATAATGCATTGCCAAAGAGAGAGCTGATAGAATGGAAAGCAATTTATAAAGGGTGAGATTACTTCAAGTTTCCTTATCCTGTGACATAGTACAATCACTAAATTAACTTCACAAAATCAAAATTGTATATGACGTGTCCAAAGTTTGCAATTGTTCAAGTGTCCCACATCGCTTCTTTATAAGTGGGCGACGCCAACAGACAACCTTTGCTTCTGCGGTTCAAGTGACTAGTTATTACAAAGTCTAGCCACACGAGCCGAGATCGAGTTTTGTTTTAGTCTAATGAGCCAAGTTCGAACTTAATTGCATTAGGCTTGGTTTGAGCTAGAGCCGAGTTCGAACATCTGAAAATTTATTCAAGTCGAGCTCAAACAATATGATACTCGATTCGGCTAGGTTCGTTTGTAGCTCTAGTCCCATTCCACTCATTTGTTCTTTTCTAATCACGAGTAATTATCTCATTTTTTGAGAATTCTATATTAGTATGTGCCAAATCAATGAGGGGCTAAATTAATACATGACCTTAAAGGCAAAATTATAGACAAATTATAAATTATTATTGGATAGACACACAAATACATGATGTTTGGGACTTACTGGATAATTTCTTCCTAACCACGGGCTTCTACTCTAGTAGTTATCACCTAGCTCTCACGTACAAGAGATTAGGAGTTCGACTCTCACCAAGAGGTGAAAGTTTCGTGGTTGTAGCTGCACATTCTTTGCTTATATCTCCATAACTTGTCACCTCTCGCTACTGCTGCTTAACGACTCCCCTATCATAGAAGTAAGATAGAGATATATGTTGTATTTGAATCCTTAAAAAATATATATATTGTTCTCTGCAGTTGGTCAGTGGATACTAGTGTGACCTTAACATTCACCTGCAACAACTTAGACAATACTAGGATTCAAGGCCCAATGCACTAAAGTAGGGCAAAATTGATTTTATCATTTTGTGATGTGGTTTGATAGGACTTTATCTCTTATCTTTTAAAAGTAGCCACGCCCATGTAGTTTTGGATTAATAATAAAAAGACAATTATACCCTTTCTGCCTTCTTCTTCTTCTTCTTCTATTTTTGACTCTCTTTGTAAATAAATAAATAAATTTACCTCCATGACTAAGCAAAAATAAATAAATAAATAATGAAAAAACATAATACAAAAATCATCTAAAAATTTAGAGTTTACCATTTTTTTTTTAACAAATGTAATTTTTAATATTAATTAGATATTATGATATACATGCATATATACCCTATATATAGATACTGTACTTAATTTATGTTTTAATTTATTAATTACATATACATAATGTTTTAAAATAATAAATTGGGTTGGAAATAACATATTAGATTAAGATTTGTGGTAATAAATTAAGTTATGTAGGTGAATTTATGATTTAATTTGTCATATATATGTTTAATTTAAAATTTTATTGAATAAGGTCATTTTATGGTAATAAATTAAGATGTTTAGTTTCATTTACGATTTAATTTGTTACATATATATATATGTGTGTGTGTGTGTGTGTATATGTGTGTGTATATGTGTGTGTATGTATGTATTTTTATGTTTATTTTTAAAAGTTAAAAATTAAATTAAAGTAGTTTGATGATTAATTTTTATAATAATAAATTAAGGTATTTGTGTTAAAGGGAAGAAGGTTATGGGAGGCCATAATATCTCAGTTGCTAAGCATTCATCAGTCAAAAGAAGTGGTAAGGGGAAGAATGGTTCTGTGGCTCTTGTTGGTTTAAATGGGAAGCAACTATTTCTGGAACAAAGAGATAAGGGTCAAAAAGTTGATCAAGTTTCGACCAGTAAAGAAAAGGGGTCAAGGCCAAGAAGGAAAAAGAAATTAAGAGGTACTGCTCAATTTTGCAAAGGATTTCAAAGAGCTGCAATATTTAGAGCGGCGACATCTGTGATTCCTTCATCCATATCTGTCAGTAGTGATGCGTATAGACAGATTTTGAGCCGAAATTAAGCTCAAGCAACCCTTAAGATGGGGAAAGATTTGGGTATTGAAATTGGGGATAACGAAGAAAGTATTATTCGCAAAATTATGGAGACATGGAAGGCAAGGCTCAGAGGGCTGGAGGGTTCAGTCTGCTATCCATACCATTTTCGTGGATGACATCCCTGACTCGATGGATCCGAGGAGGTTACATTCTCTATACTCTAGTTTTGGAGTTGTAAGGGATGTCTTCATCTTCTTCAAGAGAAGAAAAATATCTCGTACCAGGTTTGGCTTTGTTCGATATGACTACTTAGTGGCAGCAACCATGGTGATTCAAAAAATAGATAGGATGTGGTGTGATGATAAAGCCCTAAAGGTCAAGATGGCCCAATTCGGGAAGGAGGAGGTCGTGAACCATAAGTCAGCACATCCAAATGGTGGTAGAAAAGGGAGAGGTAAATCTATTGCCATTCCAGGGCCACATAGAGGGAGTAGATCTTATGCGCAGGTCCTTCGAGAAGGTGGGTCCACGTCCAAACCAACCATAACTGTTAGGGCCCTGGAAGAAGGAAATGGATGGTTATATGAGAGTGTAGTAGTCAGGTTGAAGGCCACTTGCTCTGTAGCTGATTTTAAGAAGGAATTGTTGATCAGGGGTTTGGGGGAGGCTAAATTTACAATAGGTGGGGGTAGAGATGTTATACTCTCCTTCAAATCAGTAAGGATGATGCAACAGGAATTTAATAGAATGGAAGGTTGGATTAAGGAGTGGAGTGACTCAGTCAAAGTTTGGAAACAAGGCATGCTCTTGGATCAAGAAAGAAGTGTGTGGCTAAGCTGTTATAGGGTGCCTCCTAATTTATGGAACTTCAACACTTTCAATAGTATAGGGAGGCAGTGGGGGTAGGTGATTGAGGTAGATGATGACACTTTGAGGTTAAAAAAACTGCAATGTGGTAAGGTAAGGATAGCTACATCCTGTATGGAATCTATAAACGCGTCCATTTTCTTAGATTGCAGAGGAGTTTTATACCTGGTCAAGATCTGTGAGGAACAGATTATTATATCTAAGGTAGTAGTGCAACAATGCAGCTGTCGATCGTCCCAACCGGAAAGAGCCAGTCAGAGTTCAAACAAGGAGGCTACTGATGGGGCTTCCGACTCAACTCGGGGCAACCTGCCGGTGGTGCAGGGGGACGATGAGGCTGCCAAGGTTGGAGTTGGTGATCACAGGGCTGTTGTGGTAGCAGAGAAGCGTTCTGTTGTGGCAGTAGGGGAGCGCTCTGTGTTAGTGGATGATGGAAAGCTAAACAGTGGGCATAGTGTTTCTGTGGTGGAAGAGATAGTAAGTATGCTGGAGGTGGCATGTGGAGCACGTAAGGTCAGCCCTGAAGTCAATTTGGTGGGCTCTATGCAAGGTGTGAGTGGAGGTCATGCAAATGGCAATAATGTATTATGCACGCCTGGTTTCATTAGAAGTATGAGTGGTTCTGTTGGTTATGGGGCGAGTCTAAACCTTGAGGTGGTGTTGGGCAAAGCCCAAGCCCAATATGGGGAGAATGAATTTAATCAGGCCCAAGGCCTTGGTGACTCTAGATGTGCAGAAAGTCCAATTAATGTTGAGAATTATTTTCAGCCTATATGTGGGTTACGGCTCAACACCAATTACAAATTGAGTCAGGTGGTGGAGTGGGTTTGGGTAAGTCTGGGGAATGTTCGAAACTCTCATCCCAGGTTAACAAAACCTACAGGAAACATAAGAGTAAAGGTATGAAAATGAGAGTCTGGAACAAGAAAGGGGGCGTT